GAGCGCCTATGACTTTACACTATTAGATGTTAAAAATGTTATCAGTGTTAATTTGTTTTGGTAATTAATAATTTTTCTTATAACATTCAAAAAATATACCATATAAATTTTAAATAATGCATTTCTGTTCATTAATAATATTGATACTGTACTAAGAATTTGTTAGAAATTCGAATTGATCAAGGTACTGTATTTAAAATATTTTACTGAATCAAAAGGTTATATGAGTTGTAGTTTAGGAGAAACTAAAATAATTGAATTATAACTTATGACTACAGATAATTCAATAATTAATAAAGTTATATGATGACAATATTACAGAATTATAGTAACCTGGTCAAATTAAGGTCAAATCATTGTTTGACAACTGTTTGTCATCCCAACTGCCCCTTCAATAGGACGTCATTAATGGTGTGTTGACTGTGAGTGCAATGCATTGCAAATGAATGCAAACATTAGTGCCATTTGTGGCCAAAGTGTGACTCAATTGACAATTGGTTGCAATGAGTGGTCAGTGAGTGATGTCTTACGCGAAACAGATGTGGGACTCAGGGATGGCAGTGGAGGGCTGTGAAGACATGGACTTCATGTACTCGGATGGAGACAACGACTCTGCGGAGGTATCGGAGCTGTACTCTTACACCGAAGAGAATGAGTTCATTGCAAACAAAAGCATTTTCGAGGAACTCATGGAAGACATGGGCTTTCCGTTGAAGTGGTCGCACATGTCTTCAGACCAGAGGACGAGAGCCATCGAGAGGTTGTCTGAAGGGCTGGAAGTGTGCGACAGACACAGGAGGATGCGATCGGTGCGGGCGGTGCTGTACCTCATTCAGGGGGTCTTCGGCGAGTGCCTCACTCTCGAGGAGCAGCCCCTCCACAGCCGACACAACGTCTTCGTGCTGTACTCGTGCGGACTGTTCCCCACTTTCGTGCAGTTGCTTCACATGGAGATCGACACCACTCTCGCGGCCCTCAAGAAGCCGGCCGTCAGTTTGGGTGACTCTTTGGATATGAGAATCCTTTTATCGGTTTTGTATACATTTGTTGCGGTCATGAATACCGCCGATGACTCGGATTCAGAGGCAGACCAACGACTGAGACAACAGTTTGTGGACGAGTTGTCGCAACCGAATGGCAGCGAACTGTTGGCCATAACTCTGTTCCAAATGATCACAAAGTTCTGTAACTCTACGGCCGCCACCTCTTCGTCCGCCTCTCACTTCCCGATCAAAAAGGTTTTGCTTTTGTTGTGGAAAACACTTCTCTTATCTCTCGGAGGCATTCAGAAACTCAAAGACACTAAGAGTTGGTACCGACAGAGAAGTGGTTTGAATNTTATTAAACAAATGAACAATTATAATATTTAGTTATACTGTATACTGTAAACAATCTTTGAATCATTTTGAATTTATAATTGATGTGGTCCTTAACATTTATTGTTAACACAGTTTTTAATTGTATTCATATTCATCAGAGTTAAGTTTTAAAATTAGAAAAACTTTTTAATTTAAACATCACTTTCTCATAAGATCTTAATTCATTTAAATAAAACTCATTCTTAAAGTTAATGAATTAGATATATTTATGCAAATTAAATGAGATTTTCATTTAAACAATTTTTAGAAACAAAAGCTTCATCATAAATATAAATAATATTCAGTTTTATTGTACTATAGTATAATGCTAAGGTCATGGATCTACTAAATGATGTCTGTTATCTCATAATGAATTAAATTTAAAACAATATTTCAATTTGCATTTTGTTGTCAAAGATATAAATATAGAGTATTTAGAGTAAAATGTTCTTCAACTTTAAATTTTGAGTTTGAAAAAGATAAGTTTGTTACAATACAAACAAAATTTATTTATTTATTTATTGATGATCTTATTGTTTACAAATATTTTTGTCCTCTCAATACAAGCAATTAATCGTGTCATTAGTTTCAATTAGTAAATAATTGTGACCTACACTATTTATACAAACATGTACAGTATTTGTATAAATATGTTATTGTAGCATATTAGTATATCCTTAATTAATGGTTCATTTAACTCTTTTATTGTTTTATAAAAATATTTGTATAATTTATAAATTAGATATAATAATAATAACATAGAATCAATAACTTAGTTTTTATGTTATTTAATATTTGTTCAAAAAGTGGATCAAAATAAAATTATGACAATAACACAAATTTTTACTTAAATATTAAATTTTATAAGATACGGAACTTATAACTTATACTCTAGAAAAAAGTTTAATCAAACATATAAATATGATAACAAACAGGAATTAATAATTATTTAATGATGATATTAATTAAGCTTGTTTTAAATTCATGAATGAAAGATTTAATATTATTAAGCAAAGGGTTTCTATTTTTAAATAGTTTGTCATTTATTCATCTGTTAATTATTTATTTTCCTGTTATTACTTTATAAAAGAGTTATGAAATATAAAATAAATTTGAATATTTATAGTACATTATATTATACACTGTGTATATAACTAGTAGTTATTAACTACACAGGAATACTACTTTCAGACATCCATTCATTTTTGGTTAAATTATCCAAAAATGGGTCATTCACTCAAACACGAGTATTCACTGTCAATGTTATCATAAGTTATAAAACACGAATAATGTTGTTTATCAAATGTTAAACCATTTGAAATATTTTGCTAATTTATTTGTTGTACTATAGTTACAAGCAATTTGTCTAATAAATCATTTTAAACTAAACTCAAATCCATAAATAGTCAACACAATTGTCTACTCACTTGATTTTATCCATATTTGTAGCATATGCTGTATGCAATTTAACATAAAAACATATAATTACAATAATAACCATTTAAGTAAAGATATGAGAATTTTGAACTTTAATCTTAGAAAAGCATTTTATAAAAACTAAATTTAATTTAAAATAAGAAAATTAAGAATCATAATAAAAAAATAAAAATTAAAAGTATTGCCTGTCAAAAAAGTTAGAAAAACTTTATAATTATATAATTCTTAATTGTTTATTAGTTCTTAACTTAAGAATCTTAAATTAAAGCTTTTAAATTTATTTTGACTAATTTTAGATTTTTTGCTGCATTCATCTAATATTAACAAATCATATGCCGTAAGTATTCTTACAATTATTTATGCAGTTTTTGAACTACTAAAAATACATTTTACTGTAAATAACAAATACTTTTTTGTCGATTGATTCAGTTGTCAAACACCCACACCAGTCGATCATCAGATTTATGTCGACAATCAGGACATTTGAATCGTTTCAGTCAATCAATATTATGTAAACTTCTTCCAGCAGTTAATCTTCATATAGTTTGGGACAATAAGGATAACAAACCCAATAATTTAAATGCAAATCAAATGCAATCGCAAATAGCGATCGACGAAATGGCAAAATATAACCAACAATTCAATAGCAAACCAAACGATTACTCATATGAAGTCCAATCGGATTACCCATTGCTTCCCAATTATGCCATTCCTCCCGCATTTCCAATGCATTCACAAAATCTATTTCCACACAAAGCTTCAAATGAATTGAATTCTAATGAATTTGAAGACATTATCCCATTTTCTTCAGAAGAGAGGTTTATTAAGAATATACTGACCAATGAAATGACTGAAAGTGATGACAATTCACAACATATTCACAATTCTAATCCATTTACTGAGTTTAGACCACTAAGACCTAATAGATATGTATTTAGGGATAACAAAGTCGATACAATTAACAAAAACATTCAAAATAATTATAATAGTAATCAGAATACGAGAGAAGGTTGGAAACCAATTGAATCACCAAGGCTATTTAATAATATTCAAAAAACTCAAACCAACTCAAATGAAAGTAGAGATAAGACACGAATGAATCACATCCAAAGAGTGCCATTTCTTCACTTTAGTACACAGTCTTATAGTCCATATAAATCGACGACAACTAAACCTCCAATTGTTGTAAAAAGTGGTCTTAAAAGAGAGTATTTTCTTGATTTGGACAGAAATGAACAGAATATTGATTATAGAAAGGTATTCAGTGGTTTGAATAAAGAGATTAATTCAATGAAAACACCTATAAATGAATTAAAAGTGACAGACATTAAGGACTGGTCGAAGAAAATGATTGCCAATAACAAGAATTGGTCACCATCATTGAATCCAATTAAACTCATGTCGAATAAAACAAATTTATTAAATAATCGTAAAATAAATTTCAATTCAAACAAATCATCCAGTAGCTATTCCACGGATAAAATATTTGATGGTTATTCCAATCAAATCAATAAATCACAACATGTTATGGAAAATACCAATTCTCTAACGAATGGTAATCCTGTCACTAATTTTCCGAAGTATAGTTCTTCGGCATTAAGTAATTTCACGTGCACTGAACCTGGATATTTTGCTGACCAAAACTTTGATTGTCAGGTATAATATTGTTAACTTACTTGATAACTTACAATTAATATTTGTTCGTTTATTTGAAAATTATTGCCATGGATCAGGTGTACCACCACTGCGAGAGAAACAACTATCACCAGAAATTCATTTGTCCGAACGGAACACTATTTAATGTAGACATCCAATCGTGTGACTATTGGTTTAATGTGAACTGTGGTTCCAATCATTTACATCAAAATTTCAATTTCAATGGTTTAACCAATTCTTCTGATATTTGGAGCCAAAAGAATGTGAAGAAACGAGAGAGTAATGAAGTTGAGGACGATTCTGATCACAGAAATATTGTCGAAGACATTAAGAAATTTATTCTCAATATTAATAAACACTAATATTCTGTATTATACTGTTTAACATTGTATTGAAATTTTGATCAGTTGTCTAATAATTTCATTTCCCTTAATATATGTAAATAAATTAATATTTTACGGTATATAAACCTAATTAAGATTCAAAAAGTCTCAATTTTAATTCAAAAACTCATTTATTTGAACACTTTTTAAGTAAGTCAATCCAATAGCACTTTGTTAACAACTTTATTGAATTCATAAACATCTAAACTATTAATTTTTACATTAAATAACTAAATCATAAGAGCACTGAATAGAGCAGTGACTCAAAAGAAAGGTCGTCTCATAATAAACTCTTGCCATTCTCTGTGTTTGAGTTTCCATCTAAAGAGTCGAGTGAGTAATGAAGTCCTCTGCGGATCAAAACTCGGAAGTACTCCGTAATGTGGTATCTATTATAAGGACACAATTATAATGAAAAACAATGAAAAACAAACAAAACAAATGCAAACCATATTTTCATATATCTTGTCGCGATGTTCGGCAATTTCTGCGTCGAGCCATAGCTCGTCCACATCATAGGCGGGAACGACACACATATTGCTCACCAAATCGTCTTTAGTGTTCGTATAGATATGACGCTTCTGTTCCCATAAGTCCTCTTCCCATAGGTTCCAGTCCTCAAACTTTTCAAAGTGCGGGTCCCAGGAGTCGACATTCACTTTCTCTATGTCGTCAGCCATGTCCTCGATGTCTCCCAATTCATTCCAGTCATATATCAACACTTGCGAGTGTTTCGAGGCCTCCGGTAAGTATCTGTTCTTATATTCATCGCCAATCACTTGTAAGTACTCTTTAGTCAACACTTTTGAGTTCACTTCATAAGGCTTTAGGACAACCATTATAACCATTATTACTATTATTGTCATTCATATCCACATCACTTCCAATCACACAATACTCACAATATTCCTCTGTTTGATTCGTCGCAGACATTCCTCGGGAGAGACATCCAAATAGATGACGAGATGAGGTCTTTGCAGGTCATAGATAGTGGCGTGTCTTACGCGGTAGTAATAGTCCGTCGCTTTTCACACAAATAAATATGTTTTTAATGAACTCAAGAGTTAGTACTAACATCCAAATAGATGACGAGATGAGGTCTTTGCAGGTCATAGATAGTGGCGTGTCTTACGCGGTAGTAATAGTCCGTCGCTTTTCACACAAATAAATATGTTTTTAATGAACTCAAGAGTTAGTACTCAAGAGTTAGTACTCAAGAGGTAGTAAAGGCAATGCATACCATTATCGCTAAAATATCCGCTTTTATTCATGGCTTCGGTGAAGACGAAGTCACTGTAAGGACTTCTCTCTAATATGACTCCCTGTCCGGTGTTGTAGAGGTGGGCCAAGGCGTCGATGTACTGTTCGTAGCGTTTCTTATAGAAAAACATTTTCATCCAATGGACGCCTCTGTGGTGCGGATCCTCTAAATACATGCGTTCGTCGACCGCCTGGACCTGAGGGTCGATGTATTTGTTGAGAGACCGGTAGTCGAAGCCGTTGTGATTGATATACATGTCCTCCAGATCTGGTTCAGGCATGTAGTGGAGGCCGAAGTGTTTGGCCAACGCCTGGGCCACCACTTCTTTGCCGGAACCCTTGTTGCCCTCAATCACCACAATCTTACTGTTTGGGTCAAACCGGGCGGCCGTGTTGTCCAGGTCTAGCAGGTAGTGGAAGTACTGGAAGTGCCGTTTCGTTTTGTAGGGCCACGGCTTGGGCTTGTCTTTAATCATTTGCGGATCCATTTGGTCGATGCCTATCATCGTCGCCCTCGAGGTCTTCACCAATGGCTGCACTCTCAGCATTGGATTCACGCTTCTCGAGGCATTCAAACCAGTCGTCAGTCTCGTTGAGCACAACCTAATGAAAGACATTTCACACGACTTCACACACTATTCAATCGATTGATTGTATTGTAAATTGTATTCAAAATGAAATTTAATTCAATTGTAAACACATTTCACTCAATGTTTACATTTGTGTTCATTTGTCACGCATTCAGACATTACGTCGAGTATTAGGTTTCACTCAAACTTCACTCAACTTTGCATTCATTTCAATGATTTAATTTGATTTTCTTTAAATCAATGATTAATTAAATACAGTAAACACTATCAAAATCTGAGATAAATGTTGAAAACATAATTGTGTGGAAATGACTGAATGAGTATTAATAGCAAAAAGTTTGACAATAGTTTAGAAATGGTGTGAAAAGTATGTGAAAGTGAAGAAAGGGTTGAATGAAACGATTGCATGCATTGAGCGCTCATTGGTTTATGCGTTGAGTGATTGTCACAGACTTTGATTCACTTTGTTTTCAAACACATCTCATATTCACGTCATTTGAATACATGTTTTCATTGATAACACGATTGAAGCCATAAGTGAGCCATAGTTTGCAAATCAATTCAATTGAAAGTCATATAAAATGAACGATAATTGCAATGAAAGCGAAATAATTGATGAAAATTATGTCAATTTAATGAATCAAGTGATCAATTATTCACTCAATTTGCACAACAAAGACACGAACTCTTCGTTCCCACGACTGGTCGACTCGAGCGGTGATCCACTGGTTCTTCAGCCCTCACTCTTCCCTATGGTTTGGCCGACCGTTTACTTTGCTCTCGAAGACGAGTCCAGTATTTATTTGATGATTGTTTTGCCATAAGATGTACTAAATGTCATGTCTTCTACCCTATGATCAGTCTCTTTGGTGCCAAACAAACTCAAACCTTATCTCAAATGGAAGTTGTCTTCAATCACAGCCAATACCATGAGGACAGTGGTCACCAAATCTGGATTTCGTCTCTTAAGAGGTCTGTCTCTAACACTAGTCTTCGGCCACTAATTGATTATCATTTGCTGTGATCTCAGACAAGAATCAAAAGGTTTACAAGAATTGGAGCGCTATTTGGTGTAAACACATGAAGAGTGTGGACTTCAAGACAATCAAAGACTACCAGAAAGTGAATCACTTTCCCGGAAGCTTTCATTTTGGCCGCAAAGACAAGTTATGGCAGAACTTGCGGTCAATGGCAGTGAAACACGGCTTCGAGGTGTTCGCCCACTTCCATCCGCCCACTTTTGTATTACCGCACGACTGGACTCAACTCAAGAAGTATTGGATCAACTCTGCCGAAGAACTGGTGTTTATTCTGAAGCCTCCGGCCTCTGCGAGAGGTGAGGGCATTAAAATCATTAAGAAATTTAGTGAAATACCAAAGCCTTCTGCGAGAGCCAAACACAAACACAACGCAAAGTCACAATACGTGGTCCAGAAGTATATCACAAATCCGTGTCTTCTCTACAATGAGACAAAGTTTGATCTAAGAGTGTATGTGTTGATCACGTCAATAGTTCCGCTGCGAGTGTATGTCTACGACGACGGACTCGTGAGGTTTGCTTCGCATAAATACTCGAATGACATCCAAAACAATAGCGACAATCAATTCATGCATTTAACTAATTATAGTGTGAATAAAAATAACTTAAATTATGTGCTCAACCACGACATCAACGGCCAAACGGGCAACAAATGGACTCTCAAGACGTTGTGGCGATACTTAAACCACTCGTGCAAAGGCGTTGATGTCGACGCCATTATTAACTCAATAGAGGATATGATAATTAAGACAGTAATCAGTTGCGAGCCTTTTGTGGCCAAATTAGTTAAGGAGAACGTGAAGAGTCGGTACTCTTGTTTCGAGCTCTTGGGCTTCGATATAATGCTCGACAACACATACAAGCCGTGGCTCATCGAAGTCAATATATCTCCCAGTCTTCGCTCGGACTCATCGCTCGATAGTGCCGTCAAAAGTCAGTTAATCAAAGATATGTTTAATCTAATCGGACATCAAATTCCTCCCAATTTTAAACGTTTGGAAACTTTTGCTGAATTTATTTGTTTTAATCGTCACTATTATTCGGCACTTCTTAGTGACGAGGAGACCATTAAAGTAAATCTCTAATCCTATTTGAAATATGGCTTATGTTTTGTATGAATTAATATATGTTTTCAATGAATAGCACCAGAAATACGAGCGCTCTTTTGCCGACAATTCATTTGTCGAAACGCAAGAAATTCTCTGCCATTTGACTGACGAAGACATTCGACTATTGATGGAATCGGAGGACGAAATCTCAAGAGCCGGTCGTTTCAAGCGATTGTTTCCTTCAATCAATTCTCGACATTATCTCAAATATTTACAACAAATGTATACAAAACCGATAAAAGGATTCTCATATCCAAAGAGTCACCCAAACTGACGGCCGGCTTCTTGAGGGCCGCGAGAGTGGTGTCGATCTCCATGTGAAGCAACTGCACGAAAGTGGGAAACAGTCCGCACGAGTACAGCACGAAGACGTTGTGTCGGCTGTGGAGGGGCTGCTCCTCGAGAGTGAGGCACTCGCCGAAGATCCCCTGAATGAGGTACAGCACCGCCTGCACCCTCCTGTGTCTGTCGCACACTTCCAGCCCTTTAGACAACCTCTCGATGGCTCTCGTCCTCTGGTGTGACGACATGTGCGACCACTTCAACGGAAAGCCCATGTCTTCCATGAGTTCCTCGAAAATGCTTTTGTTTGCAATGAACTCATTCTCTTCGGTGTAAGAGTACAGCTCCGATACCTCCGCAGAGTCATTGTCTCCATCCTCATACATGAAGTCCATGTCTTCACAGCCCTCCACTGCCATCCCTGAGTCCCACATCTGTTTCGCGTGACCACTGAGTGGTCGTTGGCGTGATTGGCATCATTGATGGCCATCACTGTGACACAGATTGCCATTCATATGATAACTGTATTAACGGTAATATAATAGATATTCATATCATATGAATCATATGAATATTGGTCTCACAGTCGCTGCCAGTCATGAGTCACATGTTTATGGCATTTGTTGTGTGACTGCGTGTTGTATACAATGTATTGCATTATAATGACTGCAATTTGCATACAATGCCCACTCATATGATAGTGACATCTGTGGTGGTGAGTGAAGTGAGTGAAGACTTTCCTACACTCTTGTGATGATAACAGTGGCACTGATTTGTGGACAAGTGATGTGATTGTTGTGACCAATGGATGATAAGTTCCGCAAAGCGATGCTCAAGACTGGTCACAGTCAGGTGGACAATGACAAGCAGGTGCTCGTGTATGAGGTGGACCTCTACAAAGACATGATCGAGGAGTTGGAGGAGAACCTGATCCGCATCACCAACGACTACAAGAACAAGTGTCGGGTCTGTATGTCACGACTCATGAGTTATATGATGGTTGACACTGGATTTGATTCAGGGTTTCGATCAAATGACCAGAGATATGAAGAAATTGCAAACTGAGTGTCATTTCTATAAGGAATGTCTTCAGCAAAGGGAATGTCTTATAGAGGTTCGTAGACATGGTATGAGTGTTGCATTCAATCACTTATTGTCACCCATTGGGTCCACACAGAGGGCCGGATTAGTGTTGATCGACTCGCATGAGTGCAATGGTGTCGATGCACTCAATGGTGATATAAATGGCACAACCAGTGAATCCATTGGTGATGACAGTGGCTCTGAATGTGGGCTCAGCGCGAGTGCCACCAAAACGGCTGCCAGTGCTTCGGCGATATCTCAAGAAGCGGCACAACTGCTGATGGATGTCTCGGGCTTCTCATTGGAGGCCAAAATCAAAAGCTTATTAACCGAAAAACAGATGTTTATGAATGAAATGAATGCAATTAAGACTGAATTAACTCTCGAGAGGGAGAGGTCCGCGAAATTGGAGTTGACTTTAATCCACGGCTCCAACCAATCGGCCAATTGTGAGCCTAATCTAGACATTCAAAGTAAGTCTGTCTCGCAATGTATTATTGATTATATGAATAATGATAATTGCATTGAAGGGGAGGCCAACAAACTGATCAGCGATTATAAGTTCAAACTCAGGAAATGTGAACAAGAAATGACTGTTTTGAATGGCAATGTGGTCCGACTCGAGACACAACTGTTGAGGTATAGGACTGCCGCAGAAGAAGCCGAGAAGTTAGAGGACGAGCTGAAGGCAGACAAACGCAAAACACAGCGAGAGGTTTGTGCTTACATTTGAGGGTATTTTGAGATTTAATGATTATATGACTGTTTGGACAGTTGAGGGAAGCGTTGGCAAGGATTGAAGAGTTGGAGACATCGAACGCTCACTTGCAGAAGCGAATCGACAAATTGAAGTCAAACCGCAATATTGTCATCAATACCACCAATTAATGATCAGAGACTTTCTTTTGGTTGAATGACTTGTAAATTAATTGCTAATAATATGTGATTAGAATAATTAGTTTTATGACTAAATTGCGAGCACTTTATACCGAAGGACTTAATCTCACGCCTAGAGAAGACACCAGACATACCATATCTGCAATTAACCGAAATAAGTGCCAATTAATGCATTCAAACCAATAGAGCTTGGAATACATGAATCAGTGACTCATCTAAAGGGTTATCATATCTATAATGAAATTGCATTTTCGATATATTTGATAAAACCGACTCTCATAACACCACTATATATTGCTAAACTTATTTAAGGGATGTATGATATAAACTATCGGATTTATAGTTATTATTTATTGTTTTAATTGTAATTTACTGTTTTTATCGGTTATTTCAAATGTAGCTCATAATTAGTTTATACAAAATAATAAAAAGTTTTAACAAACTAAATAATAAATATCGATACTTAAAATATTTGTTTTTATTATTATTGAATCAATTCATGAATATTAATTACATTCAAGAATTCACTAATCGTTCGGCAAATTGTCGATAATATTCACTAATTTCTGTAAATTCTTCACTTTCGGTGTATTTCTCCAAATCAGTTGCTTTTGTAATATTCAGTTTAAACTCAAAGTTAAGCATAAATTCATTGAATTTATTGTACTTTTTGGCCAAATTTGTAAACAACAAAACGATTTCTGAAACCTTCTCTTTGGATATAAAGCCGTCGTTTTCTCTCATTTGTTTCGTTAATTGAAATATATATTGCAATTGATTTGAAAACAGTTTCTTTCCTTTGATCCTTACAATCAAAATAATGTCAAAAATCTGTTGCTTGGAGAATGTATATTCAAAAATCAAATCAAATTCTTTGGTGAGAGATTTTTCTATGGCTTCATATTTGGCATCAAATAGAGTTTGGTTTGGAAATGAGTTAATCATTTCTTTCAAGTTTAGATATAGTCTGTGAAGCATTTTATTACATAACTTGTTTGCCATTTCACTTTCCATCTCTTGAATCTCTTCAGCAATTTTGACGATATATTGACAACATTTGAACACTTCTGACGCTCTGTCAAAAGGACTGCTATTTTCAATTGACTTCTCCTCTAATACATGATTAGTATCAAGAAGTTTGCAAATGAGTGCCGCTTTCATATCAGTCATGAGTTCCAATAAATCTGTCTTCAAATGCATTCTTTGCATTGCATTCAATGTATTGCAACAGAAGAGCAAAAGCATTAGTTCTTCTTCTTCTTCGTGAGAATTACTGTACTTTTTGATTGCATTACAGAATCTGAAGCATAATTGACACAAACTCTGGAGAATCCCTTTGAACCGCTCATAACTCCAGCAATGTTTGAATGTAAGCGAAAAGTAAATCAATGAAGAGATTGCGTTGAAGAAGAATTTGGTCGCGATTTTCCCCTTCATATCAGCTTTGATGCGATTTTCTGAAAAGTTTTCAACCAAACTGTGGGCCAATGTTTTACAACTATTCACTCTTTTATCGATCCAATAATTAAAGATTTCTTCATCAAAATCGATCCAAAATTCATGGCTATCAGTGTTGTCTGACTTTAGAAATTGGGAAAACTTTAAATCACTGAATTTGATTTGTATTAATTTATTGTCTATAATGGTGTTGTGATTTTCAATTGAAATTTGCTTTAAATAGTATTGGTCTGCATTGCCTTTGGTCTGAATCACAATTTTCTCTTCTCTTTCTAACTGTTCAGTCGTTTCAGCTTCGCTTGAATTTTGAAAACTTGTAGAAAAATATTCATTCAATTCTGTAATGAATATGAAATGATTGAGAATATTATCGCTTATTTCTTGGTTTCGTTTTGATTTCCAATTGTCTGATAATTCTTGAACTTTTGATTTCAAACCAATAATGATGGCTCTAATAGCTTTTGAATCTATAAACGTTTCCATTTGATACCAAAATTGCCTCAAAACTTCTGATAAGTCTGCCAACAGTGAGATTATTTGAGGCCACGACTCGATTTTCGACACATTCATTGAGATCCAGTTAATTATGTTGGTTTCAATCAATTTGTTTATTCTTCGCTTGAGTTTCAAATCTTTGTATTTTCTGTCAAATTTCCTAATCATTTTCAACACGAATAACAGCTCTTTGTTTTGCAATAAAGTTTCAATATTTACTAGAATTTTGATTTTCTTTTCATAATTCTGGTAACAATTCTCCACTAATTCTCTCTCCATTTGATTGAGTTTTTTAATGTACTCTTTTGAGAGCCAAGTCGTGTAGTCTTTTCTCATAACCTCTTCATTTGCTAATATTGTGATCAAAATCGTGGAAAATTTGTTATTTTGTGTCGAATAATGAATAATTAATTTCATTAACACAGATCTTCTTATAATTAAGTCCTCATAAGACGTCAAATTGCTTTGTATTTTATGTTGATTTATGAGTGAGAGCGCCGGCATATATAAGAAGTTGAAGTATGTTAAGTCTTCATTATCTGTCTTTATATTACTATCGGTTTGAATGTTATTTAAATGCCATTTAAACGATAAACTATAAAGTAATATATGATATCTAATAAAATTCCTTTTCTGTCCTTTGAGTGCCAGACGTCCCCAAACTATATACAGTGAAATCAATGCAAATGAGTGGTCGGAAACGGATAACTTAAGATTTAAAGCCGTCGATGGGATATAATAAGTAAAGAAGTTTTCACTCGAGGATCTCTTTCCAATTTTATGGTAAACACTTCCCAAATAGTGATTCGATTGTAGAAATAGGATGTGATTCAAGAATTTTTTCAACTTTGAAGACTTCAAGTCTTTGCTCCATATTTCAATGCAAAGTTCTTGTCTATACGTTTGATCGTATACTTCATTATTAGCACTATTAGAGTCGGGCACCGGTAGGTCTAGTTTAGTATTCCATTTAGGATTTGTTGTATTCTTTACAAATCTGGACGTAAATGTGTCGGAAATCTGAGTCAATCGACCGCTTTTGCTAAACGACTTAAAGTATAGTTTGAAATAAGGATTGCATTCTTTGTGGTCCATCTCTGGTACTAAATCTTGAGCCGATTCAACATAAATGTGGAGAATCTTTGGCGTCAATTGATTGAGTCCTTCGACCGATAACTTATTGATTTGTTGGTCAGACAACCCAAACAATTCTTTGATATACTTCTCCGTAAACTTTTTGTGTACATTAAAAGGTTTCTCTGAGTACTTAATTCCTAAAGAACTTCGATTGATGGCTATAAGACGAGACATGAATTGATTGTCATTGTGTTTAAACTGAACGCATTCATTGATCCAATGTATCAACTCTTTAGGTTGAATATCTTGGTCGAAATGACTGATTTGAATACTTCTATGCATTGACTGAAGAATTGACCACTTTTTTGGATTTATATTTAAATAATGAGTAAATAATACGGTAATCGCGCACTAAATGATTCATGAGAGCAACAATTGGTGATTAAAAGTTGTTTCAATTGAGTGCCGGAACTGTTGATCTCGAGAATAATAAGTTTGACAGTTGTCTGCCCCATATGTGATCGTCCGATGGGGTGCTGTGGATCTCGATTCGTGAAACCAGAAGCCATTATAATGGACATCGAGGGCACCACAACCGACAAAAAGTTCTTCTCACGTCGTCTGATGCCTACAATTAAGACAAATGTGAACACATTTCTCACCGAAACGTACAGTACTAATGAAACCAAAGAACTGATCGCTAGTCTTAATCTGTTGCAAAAGAAGGGTAGTTATCAGGGAATGCCTGCCATTAAAAGCAGTGGTAGTAAGGATGAGGTGATCAAATCGGCTGAAAAGAACATCTTATGGCAGATATCCAATGGGTTTAAGACGACGGAACTGAAGTCAACGGAACTGTTGTGTTGGGTTTGGATCTATGAGTCGGGTCTCATGAAAAGCCATGTCTTCGACGACGTGTCGTACGCTCTGCACGACTGGAAAACGAGGTTTGGTATCAAACTGTGCGTCTATTCATCGGCCAAATCCTGTGCCCAACGGTTGCTGTTTTGTAATACAAATCATGGAAACCTCACACCACTGATAGATGAGTTCTTTGATAGCGATATCGGCGGTAAAAGTCAAGTCAAAAGCTATGAAACCATTTGCAGACATATTAGTGTTGATACAAACAATACAATGTATATCACAGATAAGGCTTCAGAGGCTAAGATTGCAAAGAAAGCTGGTCTTCAGTCAGTGATCATCATTCGGCCCAATAATAAACTGCAAGAAGCCGTGGCTGGCGTTGAGACCATCACTTCGTTCAAAGATATTGTCTTCTAATTCAGTGGTTGTTTATTCATTGAAATTCTAGTTATTAGTTTTGTATGAAAATACTTAAATTCAATTTCAAATTCAAGTTTTGTATTTAAATTCAATCAAATATTGATATAATCAAGCAAAAATGTACAATACGTTTATATTTAATTTTTAAACACACTTAAATCAATCAATTAATTAATTATTGGTAGTTTCTAGTAATCTAACTTACCTTATTCATATTATTCATAAGAATAATTCTTAATTATTGGTGTATTTGTTTGATTACAGAATTATTCAATCAATTTTCATTCAAACATTATTTTTCAAAATTTAATTCAATTTATTTGTATAATAAATAAAACCAGTGTATAAAATATTAAATACAAGATTTTAGGCAATTGTATCTAGTTTAGTTACATTTCAAGTGTATTAATTTCATAAATACCATTACTATCAATTAGTAAACCTAATTCTGTATAAGAATCAAAAAATACCTGTATCAGTTTATTGTAAATTTATCAAATAACTAATCTAAACTAATCTAAATGTTAAGATAATTTAAAAGGAAAAGGTATGCAATATTTGGTGTATTAAAAATTGTTCCTAAACTAGAAATTTTATTTGTCTATCAAAACATTGTCTTCAAAGCTATAATTCATACGAAAGTTGTCTAAAAAAGTGTTGAACTGTAAGAAAACAAACAAATATTAAATATTATAACAAAAACCATAATCATTTGCATCTAAACTCACAAGTTCTGAATTGTCATAAAACATGTGATGTTTACTCGACACCAGTTCTCGCAGTCTTTTAATACCTAATAAGAGTTGAATCTTAAAAATTGCAACATTTTATTATCAATTGTTTTATACCTTTCTCTCTATTGTCGTAATATTGTTGTTCCCATTCATCCAAAAGTATATTCGGATATAAGAGTCGATCAAAATATTTGAGATAATGTCGAGAATTGATTGAAGGAAACAATCGCTTGAAACGACCGGCTCTTGAGATTTCGTCCTCCGATTCCATCAATAGTCGAATGTC